TCCTCTGAGTTTCTAACTCTGATATTCCAGAAGACCGATCTAATTTATATTTTTCATATATTGCTGTGTTTGGTTTTCTTATATTACTTTTTTTTCCATTTATGTTAAGAGTAAAATTGTCAATAATTTTTCTTTCTATTATCTCTTGTCTAGGTTTGGTATCAATGATTATTCTAGCTTCTAGAATGGGTTTGGAAATGTTTTTCTCCTTCCTAATTTTTGGAGGAATTTGTATATGATTACCTTTTCCTTACCTACAAGACCATATGTGTTTTGTCTCTGATTGTGTTGGGGCATGATTTTTAACTATTGATTACATTTTTCAAAGGTTATAAAATTTTCAAAAATTTTAGTTGTTATTTTACCTACAGTATTGGTGTGCTATTTTTATTAGAATATCTTCATTTTATTTTACACAACTTTTTAAAAATATATATTTTATTGAGTTTTAGGTTTTGGGGTACATGTGAAGAACATGCAAGATTGTTGCATAGGTACATACATGGCAATGTGATTTGCTGCCAAAATGTAAGTTTATAGCATTCTGCCTGAAGTTTTCTCCCTTTTTCATTCCTCATATTGTTTACTGTTTTTGATCAATCTTGCCAGAGGTTTAAAACATATTAGTTTTTTTCTAAGAATCAACATTTGTCTGTATTTATTCTATTACTTTTTTATATTTCATAGACTACCTATTTATATCTATGTCTGCCTGTCTATCTATCTATCTATCTATCTATCTATCTACCTACCTATCTGTAAGCTATTCTCCTCATCATCATCTCACTGCTTCTGGTTTCTTAGGGATTATTTCCTTGTTTTTAAATTATTCCTCAGCTTGCTAAATTTTGGCAATTTTTTTTTAATAAAATGATTTCTTACTATAAATTTACCTCTAAGTATTGTGTTAGCTTCATATACGAATTTCTTTTCTTTTTTGTTATTTTAAAATTTTGAGACAGAGTCTTGCTCTGTCACCCAGCCTGACGTGCAGTGGCTGGATCTTGGCTCACTGCAACCTCTGTCTCCCCAGGTTCACGCAATTCTTGCGCCTCAGCCTCCAAAGAAGCTAGGATTACGGTTGTAAGCTATCACACCTGGCTATTTTTGTATTTTTAGTAGAGACGAGGTTTTGCCATGTTGGCCAGGCTGATCTCATACTCCTGGCCTCAAGCAACCCACCTGCCTCAGCCTCCCAAAGTGCTGGGATTACAGGAGTGAGCCTTAATAATTTCTAGTGTAGTAATTTTATATTATAAAATATTAGTTTCTAGCTTTCATTTTTCTTTTACCCTTAATTTATAAAGAAGTGTATTTTCAGATTTGATAATTTCTATTAATCTTTTCTCAGGTTCCCTGACACTTTTTCCTATCATTTCTAATATGCTAGATTAGGTTTTGATATCAGATATTATATTTTTTAATTCTCAAACTTTCTTTTGGTTCCTTTTGTCATTTCTAATATTCTTCTGATATTTCGTATCCATTTATTAATGGCATTATGAACATTATTCTTTTGCAATTATTGGGTATAATTAAGTAGCTGCTTTGGAATTCGTGTCAGTCAATTTCAACTCTTGGGCCTCCATTGCCTGCATTTTCTTTTGAGCACTGTAAAAAAATATTTTGTATTGAAAACTTTGTTTGGATCTTTAAGCCTTAGCAAGACTGCTTAAAGCCTTTCCCACACATGCAAAACTCAGGATCAGTCAGAGTTAGGCAGTTTCTGTGCTGAATTTAGGGCTTTCCTTCTTTGGTTCTGCCACTGTCCAGCTCTGATGGTTGTTTAAAACACTGTCATCTGATTCTCAGCAGGCAACACTATAGATTTCTATCTGAATTTCAGCTCAGTGCTGATTGGATTCTCACCTCAGGCAAAGCCATAAAAAATAAGAAACTCATCCAATGCTCTTTCCTTCTTCTGATTTTCTGGTCTTTTTTGGGTCACTCTCTTGTACCTTCAGGTAACTGTATTTTTTTTCAGGACCTATAGTTGGTATCTCTCTGAGGGTTGGTTTGATATTAGTTGCCTCGCCATTTCCAGGAGAGGAAACTGGAAATACAGTTTTAAGCCTCCAAGTGTATTTCAAAAAGTTAAATTATTCTCCTCCTCCTTCTTCTTTTTCTTCCTCTCCCTCCTCCTCCTCCTTCTTCTCCTCTTCTTCCTCTTCTTCTCTTTCTCCTCCTTCTTCTTCTCCTCTCACTCTGGGCCTTAAGCAATCCTCTGGCCTCAACCTCCCAAAGTGCTAATATTGTAGGCATAAACCACTACACCTGGCCAGACACTTGCTTTGTAAATGCATTTTAAAATGTAATGCATTGTTTTTTAAGTGACATGTATATGAAAACAATCATTAGACTTTTTTCAAATGTTGCAGATTTCTTCATGTGTCTAATAGGTGAAGCTGTTAATTGTAATGTCCAAAGATCCTCTTAGATTTTTCTGTCCACTTGAGCTATCAATTATTTAAGAAAGTATGTTAAAATCTTTCATTGAGTGGTACATTTGTCTGTTTCCTCTTGTGATTCATTAGGGATCTCACTCTGTCACCTAGGTTGGAGTACAGTGGTACGATCTCAGCTCACGGCAACCTCTGCCTCCCAGGCTCAAAGGATCTTCCCATCTCAGCCTTCTGAGTAGCTGAGACCACAGAGGGAGATCTAAGATGAGAGGATCACTTGAGTCCTGGAGGCCAAGGTTGCAGTGAGCTGCAATCCTGTCATTGCACTCTAGCCTGGGCGATAGAGTGAAATCCTGTCTCAAAAAATAAAAGATTTTTTTCTTGGTCTTTGTTGTGCTGAAATTTTATTAAGATGTGCCTGAGTATGGCTTTTTAAAATGTATCTCTATTGAGGATTTTTCATGATTCCTGAATGTTAGCATTTGCCTGTTATCAATAATAGAACATTCTTAGCTGTTGTGTATTTATATATTGAATTCCTCTCTCATTTCCTTTTTTCTTGGAACTCCATTTATGTTACATCATCTCATACTTGCTTTATTTCATCAGATTTTCCTATATTTCGTATTTTTGCTTGTGTAGTTTTATTTGTAATTTTTTCACATCTTCCAATTCACTATTTCTCACTTTAGTTCTGTATAACCTGCTAGTTAAGTCCTGCATTTTTTTAACTATTACTTTTATAATTTATAGGAACGGTATAATATTCCTCTTTAAATATGCTGCATTATTTTTATCTCTCATTCTTCATATTTTAATCCTTTTATTCTTTTTTGTATCATTAAGCATTCATATATTCTATATCTGATGACTATTTTATGTTCTTCCTCTTTAATTCTGCAGGAAATTTTACTTTGTTTTCTCACTGTTTTGTTAATTTTTCTTATTATGAATTCATTTTTCTTGGTCTTTGGGGGAAATCTTTGAGGCCTCGCTTGATGTGTGGTCGTGTGGCCTCTCAGAAGGAATTTTAGCTAGTTTCTATCAGGAGCCTAAGCTAGCAACTTGGGCCCACTTTAAATTGAATTTTTGGCTTCCATTGTTTTGTACTAGGCTGATGGTATACATTTGGGCTATAAATCCAGGTGAGTTCTGAGTGTACTAGGCTAATGGTATACATTTGGGCTATAAATCCAGATGGGTTCTGAGCCTATAGTTATAATTTCAAGAGACACTTTTTTCCCCAATAAAAAAGAAGATAAGACAGACTAAAAGAAGACAGAAAAGTTTGTTGCCTGGTTTCCTAGCTGTTTTTGCAAGGTTGATTTTTAAAAAACGCTTTCATTAAATGTGTAGCCTTTTGCGGCTTCTTAATTTATGCGGGATCTGTAACCGATATATGGTATCAAATCTTTGACTTCTATTTTTTTGCATGCAGGCAATCAAAAGCAAGGAGGTCACTGTAACATCACAAAGAAGAAATAATAGCCATAATTTCAATTATTTAAAGCATCCTTCAACTTTATGGTATTAAACTGTTTGAGGATAAGAGTTTTCTTTCTTTCTTTCTTTCTTTCTTTCTTTCTTTCTTTCTTTCTTTCTTTCATTCTTTCTTTCTTTCTTTCTTTCTTTTTAAAATGAGGCTAAAGTCAAAGCCAAATGTTGTATTTCTGTTTAAAGTTATCTTAGTAATGTTTCTAAAAGTCTATTGGCAATATACATTTTTTCTCATTAAGTATCGCCCATATAGAGGACATAACTCATTTTGAATAGGCAATTTGATTTTGAACATAGCGTTTTAGAATTAAAGGCATACCAGGGATAATATTCAAATTCAGCATCCTTATTAATGGAAAAATCTGAGGGGGCTAGAATTTGATTTGCCTGCATTACACAGCTAATTTGATGCTAGAATGGAAACCAAAAGCCAAATGTAAGGACTATCCAGTTCTTTTTACCTTTTCTATTTCCACAAAAATGGTCACCTAAGACTTTCTCTATGATTATTCAGTGGTTTGAAATACACAAAATGGTTGTTATGTTATTTTACCACATACTAGTTTTTTGAAAAGTATTAAGATAGATGAATTTATATAGCCATCATCTTTTGGCTGCAATATTTGAAAACCAGAATACCAATTTTTCTCTTCATGCAAATGTTTTCTCTTTATTAGAAAGTGGCCATTTAGTATCATTTATCAGCGAATTTAAATTTTATTTCATAGTATTGTTATTTCTATGGCCAGCTTGATTGACCCTACCTTCTTTTTCAAAACAGATTTCTACCATGAAGTTTCATTATGAAAGTAGTTATTTCAAAAATCTGTCAAATTATGTTAGCAACTCTGTATTCTGGACAGTATTTTCAGAAAATCCTTCAGCTAGGTACGCATTTTTTTTTAAAGTATCCTCTTTTTTCAATTAAAATCACTTCTGATGATACTGGAGGATAGTCCGTTAATGCATAGCAATTAATAGATTGCTTGTAGATCACCTGGCTGATGTTTATGAAGATTTTTCAATGCAGTATTTGGCATCTCTGTGATGTCAGTGAGATCTGTAAATTGACTTGAGCAGAAAGAAGCCAGTGAATTCCAATTAGCCACCTTATATAATTTATTGTGGGGGAATTATGAAATACATACTTAGATCCCAATTGTCTTTAAAAATATGCATTACAACTGGAGTTTTCCACTGAGAATAAAAGTTTGGTTTTGACCTCACATAAATCCAAGAGTTCCTGAAAAGAAGTTAGTATAAATTCTCAATAGCTATGTCATTAATACCTTATGTATACATAGGAGTTTATATAATGCATTTAAGTAACAAAGAATGTTAACATTTATTAACCACCAAGTAATTAGGAGATAGCATCAATTATGTTGAGAAGATGAGTTTAGATGCTTATAGCCAAGGGAGTTAATTGAAATTGACAGCTATTATAGGTAGTTACTACTATTATTTTCAAACCTGAAAGTTGGAACATGTGGACTTGATCCTTTGCACACATAAAAGTTCACAAAACTGCTTTTAATTTGCCTTTATTCTGTAGTACTGCTTGGTGAATCATATACTAGTTTGTTGCAAAACTCATGTAAACTTTTATGTATACAAATGTCAGATCAAGCACAGGTTTTATTAATTACGTATATTTTAAACTACCAACAGCAAAAAACAAAAACAAAAACAAAAAACCCCAGAGGACAATAAGTGAAATGCATAAAAAATGAAATTTATTCTTTTGGCTCAATAATGATGTAGCTCACCATTCTTTTTAGTAATAGCAATTCCCTGCATGCAGTTAATCAATACACTACAGTAAATAGTTTTGTAAAAGGAATTAACATTAAACTTTTGGTTTGTGCAAAAAACAAAAATTTATATAATGTTAGGTAATTGCACAACTTTGCCACTTTGTTCATGGCTAAAAAGAACAAAGTTCATGTTCTATCTGTAATAGCTTTAGTGCAGCAGGAATTAAAAAAATAAGACTAGTCTGCATACGTAAATACTACAAAAGCTGAATTAAAAAAAACTTCCATGAATAAAAGGTTATATTGAGGCAACCATAGTTGGTAGAAAATGATCTAAGTTTGAGTTTTTGACCAATGTATCTCCTATTGGAATGGTAGAAAATATATTATAACAAAGAAATCCATAAAACCCATTATCTAACTTTTATTTTAGGAAATTATCCATTGAAAAATGTTATGGATTCAAAATTTGGAACTGCGATTAAAAATAAAAAGCAAAAGCATAAAGTAAAACAAATTGCCATGTCATCGACCTGAAAATAATTTTCTTATGTACAAAATGCTGACAAATAAAATTGATTATATTTTTACATTATTTATATTTAAACAAGTTTTAGACATGTTTTTAGCAAAATATGAAGTATAAGTTTTGTCACTAGGCAGTATGCAATGTGTTTCCTTGAAATCTAGAGAGATATCATATGATACTCATGTTGAATTCAAAGTGCAAAAGTAAAGGTGTTTGTAAATAATTTCAAATTATTCTGCTTGACTTAATGGACAGATAGCTGGTCGAATTCATTCTATCACCAACATGTGACATTCTTTAACCAGGACTTGTGAAGAATGGCTGAGTAAAATAGAACAGCACAGGCAATATTAACATGCATTAGTGATAGCCTTTAAACTATGTTTAATGAATGGTACAGGATACATCCCTGTTGGAAGCTCGCAAAAGACACATACACTGTGGTACATATTTGATTTAATAGAAGTTGTTTATCAGGCTATATATATATATATTTGCCCAAACATGCACCACAGGATAAAATAACTATTTACATAACATAGGGTATTTAATTGACATAAACTGTCTGCTTTGCTGACAGCAGAAGATGGCAAAGCAATACTGCAGCAGAAAGTGAAACAACTATTCTAAAGCAACACTTTAGATATATTTTTTTCTAGAATGGATTTATTAGATTACCTTTTTGGAAAGCACTTGATCAAAATTAAATATAGCGCTCTGAAACTTAGAATAAAATTTGCACTTGCTGAAACAGAATACTTTGCATAAAAATAATCCTTTAAATATTAGAGGAGACTTTACAGGCACATAACTGTTCCGATAGAAACAAACATAACATAGTAAAATACTTTCAAAATTAAAGCCATCTACAAAATGGAAGTAACTGAAACTGTAGCCATTACAATTCTTTTTCTGGTTTTGAGCAAAAATTTTCTCTCTCCTGCAAAACACCTTTGTCTGATCATTTGAGAGACTTGTAGACTCGGACCACAGGGTTCTTGTATACTGTTTCTTCAACGTAAACCTCATTACAAAAATAGTGACATGGTATTATGAATAAACTATGAATCAGTGACCATGAAAACCACCAGAACAAACTTTGTAAAAATATGGCAGATATGGAAGTTAAAAATAGAATGGATGCAAGGACTGTACTAAACATTGTCGTTACAATGACACTTTTCACAACTATCCCTATAGTCTAGGTAGCCATTGAGTTTCTCCTCAGCAGTGTCAGCTGGTAATAAAAACAGCAACCTCTTGTCAATGTTGATACCCTGTCTCACAGAGTTACAGTGACAGAGAGGTCACTGTCTTGTATAGGCACTGACTATGAGTATTTGTTAAAACAGTCAGTTTGGCATGGACCTCCTCCTGAAGTCCAGTTGACACATATACTTTACCTTCACAGGCTGTAAACAATTGAACACAAAGATAATTCTTTGTTTCTTTTTACTTTTGATTTTCTCTGACCTCTTTTCCTTTGCTTTCTTTTTCTGGTTTGTCTTTCTCAAACTTTTCTTTGTCTGGTTTTGTTACACTATCATAGGAAGGAGGAGAGGTGGTAGAGGAACTCCCATCTGTTTTTTCTGGAGTGGAGTTCCCATTTAATTTGTCAATAATCATGTCTTGTTTTATAGGTAAGTCAATCCTCCCTTTAATTGCCTCTTTGTTGTAGTTACTTGATATATTTTTTAACCTTTGCTTTAAAAGATAACATCTGAAATTACGCTGAATGATAGCAGCAGACACCTCCTCTTGTTTACGTTTCAAAGTGGTTGTAATAGGCTCATAAGAGACTTTGGAGGGATTTGATGCCATAAACCGGTCTTCCATCTGTATTCGAAGGGCATCCATCTCTCCACTCTCACCCAAAACACGTTTTGTAAAGGCAAATAAGATGTCAAGGCAGTGGATCCGGTCACCACTGACCATGGGCAGATCCATGGCAATGAGCTGAACTTTGTTGGGTTTTGCTATGAGAAGAGGAGGATCCAGGGCGGCTGCAAAATCAGAGAGTTTCGAGAACTCTATAAACTGGGTTGCATCGGGATCAAACTTCTCCCAAACCTCATAGAACATCTCAAAGTCATCCTCACTCAGGGGCTCTGCACTTTCTTCAGTAGCAACACTGAAGTTCTCCAGGATGACCGCAATATACATGTTCACCACAACCAGGAAGGATATGATGATGTAACTGACAAAAAAGAAAATCCCAACAGATGGGTTCCCACAGTCTCCCTTAACAGAGCTTCCAGGGTGAACTGTGTCAGGGTCACAGTCGGGAGGCCCACTATTAAGAATAGGGGCTAGCAATCCATCCCAACCAGCAGAGGTTGTAATTTGGAACAGGCAGATCATGCTGTTGCCAAAGGTCTCAAAGTTGAACATGTCATCAATTCCAACTTCCCTCTTAACATAGGCAAAGTTGGACATTCCAAAGATGGCGTAGATGAACATGACCAGGAAGAGCAGGAGGCCGATGTTAAACAACGCGGGAAGGGACATCATCAAAGCAAAGAGCAGTGTGCGGATCCCCTTTGCTCCTTTGATCAGACGCAGGATTCGGCCAATCCTGGCAAGACGGATCACTCGGAACAGGGTAGGGGACACAAAGTACTTTTCTATCATCTCAGCCAGAAACATACCTATGGAAAATATAGAACACAGCTAAACAGAGAATATCTTTCACTTATATGATGGTTTTATCTTTTTAAAATGTCTATGAAAACAACAAACTTGTTATGAGTATGAGGCTTTACTAAATATTTGGATCCACTCTCTGACATTAGCAATTAAAGACTACAGAGTTTTATTCAGTGATTCTGTAATGTCATAAGCCAATATGAATTTGTGCAAAATCCAAATAATCTCCAATAATAGCATGGCAATTTAAGATTCTATTCACCCAATTTCTATGAATAGTTATCTCTACATATGAATTGTGGCAATTAATGAACAAAAATTATTTCTGAAATCTCTGAATATATTGTCTTCTATTTTTTAGTGATCTTCTTCAGTTAGAGAAAAATGGGCCATATTGGACATGAGATTAACGTTGAAGTTTCTAAATTTGGGGTTCTATAATTCCCCTCTCTTTTTCTCCTATTAAATCTCAACTCTTCTTTCAAGACCCAACTAGGACGAATCACCTTTATCTCTGGAAGATTGTGTTAACTCATTCCAGCAGAGATGGTTACTTCCTCTTCAGTGCTTCTTATGGTACCAACTTTATTTCATTATAAAGATGTGTTTTTTTAAGCCATCTGTCTCTTTCTTTAGTCTGTGACCTTTGTTTAAGATGAGGACAGTACCTGATAATGTTTGTTTCCCATCCTCTTCATCCATTTCCCAAACCTGGTAATCCTAACATGGTTTCTAACTAGTTAGCTTTGTGAATAAACCCAGGTTTTATTCAAATATGTTAGTGTTGAACTTTTGATCTATATGCATTATTATTCTCAGACCTAATTTCTGTGTTTATCAGCTGGAAGGCCCAGGGGCAACCATTTCTCTACACCTGTACCTCTTGGTAATTAAGCTGTTCTTACCCACAATAGAGAGAATCACAACCACAAAATCAAAGATGTTCCAGCCTATAGTGAAGTAGTAGTGTCTGAGGGAGACGAGCTTCAGTACAAATTCTCCCGTGAACAGAACAATGAACACGAGGTTGATCCGGGACAAAACTAGGGTCATATATTTGCCCTGGTCATCGGTTTCCACCATCATGGTGACCATGTTGAGGCAGATGAGGATCATGATGCTGATATCAAAGACTTGTCTGGTTACAAAATCAAAGACCATTCCCTGGAATTTGTTCTAGAAAGTGAGAGAAGAGAGAACAAGTCATTATATATATTTCATAAGTAACAATCCAGTAAAATCGTAGATAAAGCCCTTCTGCATATGGCGATGAATGTGCACCCTCCTCATATTACCCCCAAAATTTTATGTGCTTGGGTCCTCTTCATGTTAAAAAAAGTGAAAAAAAGAAGATTCATATAGCTGAACAAAGCATATTTGGTTTATTTAGGTCCTATGGAAAGACAAAGCTGAATGAGACATAAATTATGGCTGGGTGTGGTGACTCATTCCTATAGTTCCAGGACTTTGGGAGGTTGAAGTCAGAGACTCTCTTGAGGCCAAGAGTTCCAGACCAGCTGGGGCAACACAGCAAGAGCTCATCTCTATTCAAGGAAAAAAATAATAGCCTGGCGTGATGGCACACGCTTGCAGTCCCAGCTACGAGGGAGGCTGAGGGGGATCACTTGACCCCAGGTGTTTGTGCCTGTAGTGAGCAAGTTTGTGCTTGCCACTGCACTCCAGCCTCAGTGATAGAGTGAGACCCTGTCTCTCAAAAAATAAAACAAAACCAAAAACATAAAATTGTGGCAACTGGTTGATAATATGTATAGTCTTTGCTTTATTTGAATAAGTATAATAATTTTTTTAAAAAAATAGTGACTAATAACAAAGATTTACAAACTAGGTTAATATAGAGAGACATTTAGATAGATAAATACATCAATTTATTTATCAATATTTTAAAAATTTTGCTTTATGTCTGATTTCCCTCCCTTGAAATACATCACTCACATTTCTATTGAATTCTACTTCTCTAGCTCTGTGAATCTATGCATGTGTTTGTTAATTTATCCGTACTTCTTTCCATCTGTCCTTCTTTATCTATGCTTTAACAAAATTGCATTACTTTAAACAGTTTTTATTTGTCTTATTAACAATCATCTCAGAAACAACATGCTTTCAAAGATTCTTATATTAATATGCTGATTAAATACAGTTTTATTAAAGAAATATGCATTTAATTATTTAGAGTAAAGACTTAAAATAAAACTTCATGGCTTACCAAAAATCAAAGGTCATGAACTGATAATGTTTTCATTTTTAAAGGACTTCAGTAAAGTTGGTTCAATCCCTTCCCCTCTTACCCTGCTCCCTCACACTTCGGCTCCAACTACTCTTAAAAATATGGTAAAGTCACTTAGAGAATATATGAGACTTTGTCAAGTCCCAGTTCTGGCAACTACAGGATTTGTGACTTGGAGCATGATTCATATTGTCATTGGGTCTCATTTTCCTTATTCCTTACCTATCTCAGAAAATAGCTGAATTAGAGTCCAGCTCTGTGAATATAATGTACCGTTATTACATCATTCCATTATCATGAGGCTCTACAGAGTATGCATTCTGAATATGTCTTCTTACGTATTTGGTGAACAAACAATTTCGATGACATCTTTTCCTTTCTAAACAGGATAGGAATATTTTCTAGTCTTAAGAATGGAGGGAACAAAGACTATAGAGGGAGACCATGGAGGTTGGGATGGCAAGGGTAGAGAAGGAGGAACCAGTTGTGTTGTTGGTAGCGGAAAGTGAACCTTGCTTTGGAAGCAGTTATTGGCAACCTGAGTTAGAAATTTTCAACTCACAAATTATAAAGAGCATTACCTCCATTTTTAGAACGTGATAACTTCTAATGAGTGCAGAAGTTGTGAACTGTGATATAAAATGTGAACTTTATAATTAGGGCTCTATAATGGTGATATCACTTAATATTCTGCTCCAGAGCATTGATCAATATGACCACAAGGACACATAGCTTTGGAACATTAAAAAAGACAAGTAATTCTTACTGCTGGCCGAGGTATGGGTTTCTGAGGTTTCTTGGATCCAAGTTTCTTCATTGCATTGTAATATTTTTTCTGTTCCTCTGTCATAAAGATGTCCTGACCTCCAAAGTAAAGACACAGTATAAAACTGGTTACAATCCTAATATGTGCTACGATAGTACTTTTACAAAAAATATTTGTTTTTCCTTTAATCTTTTCTAATTTTTAAATGGATATTATCCTGCTACATATACATTTATCCTGTTTTTCCCATTTATGTGATATTCTAAATATCTTAATATTAAGCAAAGTCCTTACATACACAAAACTCTGATCACTGCAGTATTCCAACTTGATTATACTATGTTTAAAAGTTGGCACGAGGGTCTCAAATATATTTTTGTAAAACAGAAAACATTTCTTAGTCCATTTTGCTGCCAGTAATTTTACTTCTTCATTCAACAGATTTTAAACACTTTCTGTGTGCTAAACAATATCCTGGGTATCAGAATTACATAAATATATAAGATATAGTATTTTGCTTCTAAATGGAGCAGGAAACTGAAAACGTAGGTAGACAGCGTATGGTCATATGACAAAAAAATAAAATGTACTTCAGCGGCAACAATGAATTCAGAGGCTCAGAGACAAGCTGTTATATAGCTTACCCTTAAGCCAGGCCTCAAAAGATGATTAAGGGTTTGCTAGGCAAAACATTCCAGGATGAAAAACAGTATCACAAAAAGCCATGGAGGTACAAGAGAATGCTTGTTCAGAAAAGGGCAGAAAACTTATATAGATGTACAGGTGGTGACTACGTAGTGGAGAAATGCACAATATAGAATGATGTGTAGAAAAAGATAAAGCTGGAAAACTGGGTGGGGGTAATTCCTGAAAGGCTCTGTAAGCAAAGCTAAAGCACTGGAGACCCACTGGATGGTCTGAACAAGTGGACACATTTTTGAGTCGGAAAGCTATCCCATGGATAAAGTTTGAGAGGAGCCACTGAGTAGAGGCTGGAATCCCTGTAGCTTAAATAACCACATGGTGAACTGAAAATAATATAAACATGATTTAAGTCTGTTATGACTACAAGTATCCTGGTTATTTTGTTGTATTAACAAATGGACCCTCAGAATGAAGAAAGGTAAAAGCTGAGGAATACTTATCTTCTTTTTCTGCTGGTTGAAGTTATCTATGATGACACCAATGAATAGATTCAGGGTGAAGAATGACCCAAAGATGATAAAGATGACAAAGTATAAATACATGTACAGATTTTCTTCATATACAGGCTGAAGTTTAACCTAAATGATATTGAAAATATTAAGTAATATTAAAATATACTATGAATACTTACACCAAATCAGTAATTTATTGTTGTTACTTAATACAGTGCTACTTTTGTTTTGCTCTGAAATACTGTTCTGCAAAAACAATTTTTTAAAAACTAGTATGATCTAGTAAAAGGAAAGTTTGCTAGTTTTATGGTTGTTCTTGATTCTGTTTTCCCATTGTGCCTTACCTGTAACATATTCTTTAACATAAAGGTGATATAATCAGGGAAAACATTTTGAGTCTAGTATTAGTCATAATTTTTTGCAATATTTTCAGTTTGGTTTGGAAATATGGCTTTAAGAGCAGATCTTCAACTTCTAAGAGGAAAATTCAGCACGGATGTGTTCTGTGGAGTTATTTTTATTTTCTAAGTTGAGTGTCCCTGAAACTTGCTTGCTTTTCTGTATCATGATATTCTTGGAAGCTGCTTTACAGAGTCTGGTTTATCATACTCTCCAGGGATAGGGAGAGACAAGTTACTTTCCCATTGAGCAACTTTCCCACTCAGAATGGTCTCATTTACTGGACCAGCCTAACGTGTTATGATCCATGGATCTAGGTATCCTTCCATATTAGATATATATTATGTATTAGGCACATATTAATCAAGCATCATCTATATTGAAGCAGACTGTTCATTATTTATATGCAGTATTAAATGTTCTAATATAAAATTTTGGGTCTTTTAGTTAAATCACTACCAATATTCACCATAAGAAATCTAGTACCTATAAATAATATTTCAGTGTTACTTACATCTCGTGAATCAACAGCTGCATACATAATATCCATCCAGCCTTTAAATGTGGCCTGTAAATAAAATATATTTGAATTTTTCAAAAAAATTTATCCAACACTGACATTTAACCAAATGAAAAAATGACAGTATTGTAACAAATAACTTTTTATACAGTATTATAAAATTTCCTGTGAAGAGACTGAAATAAAATTGAAGTAGAAAAACATTTGTATTTAAAGTCTGGAACCTGTTTCATTCTCTGGAAAGTATTCTATTTTCTTCCTACGCTAAAATTTAGCGAAAGAGTTTATTCATGAAACTGCCATCTCAGTCCCAATTCATTTATATACCAAAAGGTAAGCTCTATGATTTGCATTTTCACACATAGTAGAATCATATTTCCTAGACATTGGTATAATAAATTATCTAATGATTTATACATTTAATTCATCACTACAAATATACTTTGTTATTTTAATACCTAAAATTGTTCTTCTCGCAATAATTGATACAGAAAATTAAAAATATACCAGTACCCAAAAATATAATAAAAAAAGAAAACAAATATAAAATCACATTAAAACATACTAAAAGCTTAACACTGTGGAAAATATATTATAAAACAACTATAACATCTTTTTTATGATCAATTCAAGCTGATATTATAGGTGTTATCATTAATTTCTTTTATACTGTCAAATGTTAGTCATCCAAACATCAGAAAAATAATCTTACTTGAAACATCTTAAACATTTTTTCAAAACTCTTACAGTAGCCACTTACCACTTGAAGCAGTGCGAGATAACCAGCGCCAACATTATCAAAGTTTACTTTCACGTTTTTCCAACGAGCTTGCTTGCCAAGAGCCTGACAGTCACTGAAATTGTTGACTTCACTAACGTTAAACATGTTACCCGTTGTCATGTTAACACAGTGGTAAAACTTGCCAGCAAACAAATTCACACCCATGATGCTAAAGATCAGCCAGAAGATGAGACACACCAACAGCACGTTCATGATAGAGGGAATTGCTCCAACAAGAGCATTCACAACCACCTAGAAGAGAAAACGAGGGCAACATAGCTGAGAAACCTTTAGAATGGAAACCATTCCTTCAATGTATTTGTTTAGTACTCATATGTGCTGGTAAAGAGTTAAATAAAAATCTAGGTGGACAAGTTGTTGCTTCTAACATTTTCTAGCACATATTTGAGGGAAAACAAACAATGACACAACTAAAGAGCTAAGGATTTAAGGAAAGCAAAATATGCTACAGAAAAAAGAAATCATCAAAAACCTGGTAGAGTAAGATGGAGTCAGAAAATGTTTGTATGCTGGGGAAAAAAGAATAGAAAGATGCATTAAATGCCAACAGAAAAAATAATCATCTTTCAGCAATACATTTTAATTTTCAAGAGTGTTAATGAATGAATGATGATCTGAAAAGTGAGTGAATAAACCCTTTACAAATAAACTATTAAAAATGCCTTAAATCTATATTCTCAGATAATGTTAACTTTTTTTGACTATGAAGAATAAGATTAAGAATTCACTGGGTCCCTTTTTCCCCCTATTTTCCCTATTAGTAGATCTCAATAAAAAAGGTATGTTAAATTAGGGAAAAAGGTGACATTTATCTCTGGATGTAACAGTACTGGATGTGTTTCCATTATTATTACTTCACAATTTCTTAAATGTTCACCTTGGAACACATGCTACTACATCAACCTAGGCTGATCTATTTCATGAAACGGAAATTCATTCATTTTACTTTTCATTAAATTCAGAATATATTAAGATGTATTTCTAAATCTTTATGAAAGTCGACAGTAATTTTTTCTAATCTAATTTAATCAAGTTCATATTGGACTATTCTTTTAAGCATTTATATTAAATAAAAGTATTGTTTTATTTTAAAATACTGCAAACATTATTTTAAAAATCAATACCAAGGAATCTTAAATTGACATCAAAATCAGAAATCCAAAATTGTAAACACTTCATATGCTACTTGAATTTCGTTTCTTTTGGAAGTTGAGCCATATACATTATACTTGCCAGGGAGTGAATACAGTCACTGGGTTCTTAGTTTCTGTTTTTGGTTGGGCTAGTAAAGCCCGTTTCTCATCCCTCTTTTCCACCTATCACTAGAAACAGAAACTAAAAACCACGGCTTCAGGCTGCTAAAAGCCTAAAACAAAACAGAAGAACAATACAATAACAAAATAAGGTGGGTTGGACAAGCTTGGTACACATCACCAGTTCTCCTATTTTCAAATAAATGCATAATAAATTATCATATTTTGCATTTGGAATATTAATTCTGCTATATGACTGAATTTAAAATTCCCAACTTGGAATATTTTTCAGGTTAGAGAAAATTTATAAGTTTTAACTTTTGCTCAATTGCTATCTCTCCTCAAAAATGAACTGTTAATAGGAAGCCACAGAACCAAATGAGAGCTTAATATCAGTAACGGTAAAAGTTTGGTTTGAAAAGAACTTGAAATTGTATAGTAATCTTTATGAATTTTATCTTGTCTATCTTCCTTCAACAGTAACAAGGAAATTAAATTACAATGTGAAAACCAAATATTTCTTTGGTTACAATGATTCTGGAGAGTCGGGAGAGTGGCTTAATTCTTTCTAATGAGTGAACTTTAAAGTCAAGGCTTTATTGCCCCAAAAAAACCAACTCCTAACATAAAAGCCCTATGTTCTAGAATAAATTAAATATCCACATGAACTCACAAACCAGATGAAACAAAACTGGCCTTTGTGCTAAATTCTACTGAAGGTCATGGCAAATGGGTGTGTTTCTATAATAAGTGTAATTTTATGTTTAGAGGCATAATATACACATTAAGGAAGAGAGCTGTGGAGGAAAGTACAAATGCTATAGAAAAAGTGAACCTTAATCAGAATGCTCAATTAGAAACAAGATCTATAAAACAAACTCTGGGGGACTGCCTGAAATGCTTAATTACCTTAACCCTTCACTTTGGTTGGTATTTAGCAATTTGTTAGAGGCTATTTAACGTTGTTTCTTTATGCAATAATTTTTATACTGATATTAATTCAAGAAGTGAAGCACACAAATCCCATTGTACCTTTCATTCATTACTAGTAATTTTGAAGGAATCAGACTATTAAGAGAAAGAAACTCCCCACCTTGGATGAATGTCAGTAGTCAGTAGTTATTTCAAGGTGTATAAGCAAAAAGAAATAACTGGCAATCCACGGTTTTTGGGTGCTGTACAAACACCCTTGAACTGTGACAAGCAGACCTGGATGCTAGTCTCAGTTCTGTCCCCTCAAAATTCTGAGAGCCTGTTTAACTAAACTCCAGTTTCAGAAGACAAGGCTTTGTGATCTCTAAAATTTTTGCTCTAATTCTATAATTCTATGAAATATATATCAGAAAAGTATAGCACCCTTCTCTATCTAAAGCATTGCCTACATGTAATTTTGACATGAATAGTTAGAGTGTTTATTCTTCTTACCCTCATGCCTTCAAACCGGGATAACGCTCTTAGAGGTCTTAAAGCTCTTAATGTCCGTAAGGATTTGATGGCACCGAGTTCTGAGTAGCCAAGAGCATTGGCTACGAGGCTAACCAAAGAAACCTACAAAAGGAAAAAATGCATTAATTAGTTTGCCAAGAAATAGATTGTTGACTGAAGGTACAGGATGTGGTATCTATTTAGTGCAGACTAAGTACAAATTTGGACATACCTTGGCAACTTTCATCTTCCACATAGTGGGATCATCTTATATTGCCAGTCTCATACTATTGCTTTGCTTACCAATGAAACCAGAATACTTGCCCATACTTATAAGCATTTGTAAATGCCTCCAGTTAGATATTTGTCAATGCCTCCAGCTAGATACCATGGATCTTTTTTCAACCTGTGCGTATACCACTGATAATTCAGGATTGAGTTCAATGCCAGATCCTCCATGGATCTGTGCTTAATATTATTGATTAAAATACTGCTTCTTTCTTGAATTTATGTAGTATCTTGGTGATGTATTCTGGAAGCATTTACCATGTAATAGCGTTAACTAACTAGATATCTCCCTTTCCAGATCATAGAAGTCTTTTTTTTATCAGCAGGGATGAAACTTGCTCTCTTAACATGTCTAACACTGACTGGTCAGATATACTTTTGTCAAAATATGTTGGATAAATAATTATTCCAGGGAAAACTTTTATCATCATTCAGAGCGATGATACAGCTTTCTGATACAGGCTGAGTGTTCCTCATCTAAAAATCAGAAATCTAAAACTTTTTGAATGCTAACATGACACTCAAAAGAAATGCTTATTGGAGCATTTTGGATTTTGGATTTTTGGATTAGAACTTCTGGTTTTCCATAAGACTCTACCTGTATTTATACTAAATTTTACTTAAATATATGAAAGGTCAAAGATAACATGTCCTTTTCTGGAGGAAGAACTTTATTTGCTTTAATTTTATTTCAATATAATAGCATGTCTTCATGTATAAATCCAAAGAAATAGCTACCATTACCATTGCCATTTTATGTGTGAGGAAGTTTGAGCACCACCCCCTGCCCACACCAAAAACAGGATGCACAGCTAATAGGGAGAATTGGCGATTTGAACCCAAATGATCTAACTTCAAAGCATATCTCAACCTTCTGCATCCATTAAAAATGTTTTCTTCTTCACCTGAATCACAGAGCATAGAAAATGATTTGAATGACTATCTTCTAAGTTTTTGCAAGGATGGGACCTAACTAGTGCTTTCCTTGATGCATAAGAGATAAATTAATTCATTATATCCACATTGGCTTAAGGGCATGGGGCTTAATTTCCCATGAAAAAAGGTTGTTGAAAATGGATTTAAGTGAATCCTCCCAATAATCTTGTTAAGAAGGATGAAATCAATAATCTGCCTAAAAACACCAAAATCAGAACCCAGGCTTTAAAAGTATATGAAGCCACTGTCCTCTCATTGTTTAATTTAGCATCCTTTTTAAGAATCGAACAGAATAATACATGACTTGACTGCTAAACTTGATTAGTGGCAGGAAAATTGATTAAGCTATTCATTTCTGTCTTGGGTTTGCTGTTATAGAAGACTGGAAAGATTGGAAAGGTTATTAGAGAACACACAGGCTTCTGTGTTCTATGCTCCTTTTCCTCAGAAGGCATTAACAGCTTCTTTATGTTTCTGGAGTTACTATCTGAAGAGATTTCTTAATTTTAAAGGGAAGTGGCTGCAGAATTCTCAAGACCTTGAAGAAAAGAAGCTCATGCTTTGAAAAGAAAAGTAAAACTGGGTTTGATGTCCTGGGCCTGTAATCCCACTGCTTTGGGAGGCTTAAATGGGATGATCACTTAAGGCCAGCAGTTCAAGACCAGCCTGCACAATATAATGAGACCTTATCTCAACAAAATATTTAACAAACAAACAAACAACAACAACAAAAAAAACCAATTAGCCAGGGATGGTAGCATGGACTTGTAGTCCTAGCTATTTAGGAGGCTTAGGCAGGAGGATTGCTTAAGCTCAGGAATTTGAGATTACAATGGCTATGATCACATAATTGCACTCCAGCCTGGGTTACAGAGTGAGAGGCTCTTGTCTCTTTAAAAAAAAAAAAAAAAAAAAAAAAAAAAAAAAAAAAAAAGTAAAGTAATGCCCAGAACAGTGGGTGGTGGAAAGATAGGAAGTTATGGGTTCAAAGGTTGAAAGGCACCACCTGCATCTAACCACCCTACATGGCATGGAATTGTGTGTTGTTAGAGAAGCCGGGCTTAATGAAGCTGCACTTATTTTAATGGACCTCATGGCCCAGAGGACTTAGTGCCAGAATTGCAGCCACAATATAGTGAGGATCAGAGGAAATTAGCAACACATTTCTAGGTTACATATATCCTAGAGTTTCTAGAAGTTCCCAAGGGGAGAGCATCAAAAACTACCTGACACTGGATTTCCTGACAAATCTGTTCTGGGATCTGTTGCATATTTGACTTATATAGGTAAATAAAGGGAATTTAAAATATTGTTAGGATTCTGAGAATACTCACTGCAGATTGGTTTACTTAAGTAACTTAAAATATTTTTTCCATGCAAATCACTCTAAGAAGATTATCACAATTTGATTAATCATATACATAAATAATTTTTTTTCTGGTTTGCATTTCACTTAAGCTACAATGTAATTTTGTATGAGGCAAAACCTTATTTACTGGTTTAACTGATGTGAAAAAAATGCTTTAAAAGGAATTTTGAAATAAGATCTTTCAAATCTCTATTACAAGTAGAGGTAGCTCCTTGCTGGAATTTTAAAGATTTGCAACATACATAAAATTTGAAGATAATGTCCTACATTGGTAGAATGCTTTACAATTCACAGTGATCTCTTTCACTCATTATCTTTGTGCCTCAGAATAGTGAAATGACCAATCCAAGAAAAGAGAGCAACAGGTAAACATATAACTAGAATTTAGGTCTTCTGTTTTTTAGCCTAATGTATTTTTCACCTTAGCAAATATGTCCCCAAGCTTTCAATACATGGTGTTTTAATCTTCACCTCTTTTGTGCTGAACACAAAAGGCATTCTTGCCAATGCGTGCAAAGTATAACAGATACCTATTTCCAAAAACTAACTTTTAAATATGAGTTTACATGACTCAGGTTCCATGCCACACTACACAGCAAATAAACGGAAATGACTGTAATAGAGATGTCAGGGGTTGATTTAGTTGTCGTTCACACCTTTCCACATTCCTATGGCAGCTGAGACTGAGAAAGAAAAGAATAATTCAGGACTAAGTTGATGGTTCCAAAGAAGAGTTTGGAAATCCTGTGATTGGTTAAGGAAACAAGCAATAGGAATTTATTTCCCTTGAAAATGACTAAAGATAATGTTTAAAGTTCAACACGAACAAACAAAAGATAAAATCCATACATCACCTCCATACATTTTGATGATATATTTCAATCTGAAAGCTTGTATAATTTTTAATGGTGATATCTATAAGCATTCTCATTAAAATCAGAATAAAAGAATATGCCCATCACCAACATTATTATTTAACACTTTATAGAAAAAGAAGAGTTATAAGAATTAGATAAGTAGGAGAAATCATTATTTGCAGATTTATTGTTGTTAATTTAAAAATAAAAACCCACAAGGGAATCAAGTGAAAAACTATTATAAACAATAATCTAATTATTTTAGGTGGCTGATGAAAGCATTTTTTTATCTTAACTTTAAAAAATGTTTGTGTAGGAGTCCTTTTGAACTACAAAACTTTTAAAAATTAATTCAGAAAATGTAAAAGCATAAGAATAATTGAAACTTTTGTTAAGGAGAAAAGCAATCAGAGTGGACACATTTCACCAGGTATTAATTATAAATCTACAGTAATTAAAGCTGTTATATTAGTAGACAAAGAAATGAATGAAACAAAATAAAGCTCAAATTAGCATGTGGATACTGAGATTTAGCATGTAGAAAGGAGAGAATATTAAATGAGAGGAGAAATAAAACAACTGATTATTCATTACATGAGAAGCCAAATTGAGAAAAATAATACCGGAGCCTTACTTCACGCCTTGCTCCAAATTAAATTCTGCGTTGTTCAAAAATTAAAACATAAAATAAAAACGAAGGGACAAAGAAATAAACAAAAATTCTCAAACTAAAATACTGAAAAAAACCAGAATATTTTTAATAGTCTTAAAATGGGTCTTCATAAACATGAGAAAACCAAGAGAAAAAAAAGTCTGATAAATTTGACTACATCAATATGAAAAATTTCTACATGACAAAAAAAGTCTAGACAAAAGCCCAAATTAGAAAAATATTCATACTACATGTGACAAAATACTAAATTTCCTCAATAAAAAGAGCTCCAACAACTCATCCAGTGAAAGGTCATTAACCAAATAGTAAAACACAAAGACCATTTCTAAACTTTTACAGTAATCTATCTCTTTGAACAACATATTTATTTATACTCCCTATTGAAGTTCAACTAGAAGAAAAGCAAAGGAATACAAACAAAGAGAATGGGAGGAGACAACAAGAAGAGTTTTAAAACGTTCTGGACTGTGGAAGCACAGGAATAATTACTTTCTCATCAGAGAAAGAGCAGCAGAAACCCAGGTGCCTGCAGAAGGAACTCAAATCGTTTCAATGAATGCTCAGAAGGCTCTGGACCTGGAAGCACTTGGTTGTTCAAAAACAGAAGGGTAATAGATGGGGTTGAAAACAGAACTGATTGAAAGATTGTATACAGGAAAGCTAGGCACTCCTGAGTCCCTTCACCCAAGGCTCTCCAACTCTTCAAGAGAGCAGAAAAAAAAATACAACTTCATAACTTCTAGAGTAAAATCTGTACTTGCTATGGAGCTCAGAACACTGTTTCATCTACACTGTTGTTAGGTTTCCCTGCGACCCCACAGATGTCTCTTTCTGTATATCCTAAAGTTGAGGTTTCCCATTAATAATACTAAGGGGCTTAAATAGCATATGAATTAACTCAATATTTCTTAGGACAAAGACACCCAGAATTTCAGATTACTAGGTGCACACCTTCCTGCTTCCACCACAGAGGAGCCCTACTTCCTATCTGCTGAGTAAT